ACTAACTGGCTCAGGTGAGCCCTTTCCCTCACTTGGCGTCTAAATTCCTAGTTAGTAGATAAATAATGCTTTACTTATTGAGACAGTGCCTGAAAAATCCAGAGATGTCAAGAAGCATTCTAAGGCCACAGAGCAAGTTAGCATAGGATGAAGCAAGACCAGTCCCCAGATCTCCTGATTTTACTTAAACCACCCTGTCTTCTACTCTACAAAGGGGCAAAGGCAAGCATGAGAGCAAGAGCACTTTCAACTTTTACCACCTCTGTCCTCTGGCTCCTGTTTCTGAAAATATACTTGATCCTGGAGACCACCACTGTAACTACGATTTTCCATTACCTCTAATATACTCCAGGAAATTACAGCATTGCCTATATTCCTCACCATATATGGTCAGCCCTCTAGATTACTGGGTTCTGGGGTTCTGCATCTCAGGATCCAACTACCTCAGATGGAAAATCATTCAGGAAAAGAACTTTATCTATACAGAACATGTTGACTTTTTTTTTTCTTGTCATTGTTGCCTAAACAACACATTATAACAACTATTTACATAGCATTTACATTGTATTAGGTATTTTAAGAAATCTAGAGATGATTTAAAGTATATGGGAGAACTGCAAAGATTAGATGCAAATACTATGACATTAAAAAAGCAACCTGGCCATATGTGGATCTTAGCATCTGCAGGGGCATCCTAGAAGCAAACCCTACAGATGCTAAGGCTAAGGGATGGATGACTATAGTTCCCCATCCCACAAAACACGCACACATACACACTTCTATTCTCAATATTATAAATCTCTTCCTTTCCAACAGCAAAGAAACTTTAGGCCAGAAATGAAATGATTATAACACAAGAATCTGTTCAAGTGTTAAATGCAACCACAACTCCATCCAGAAACAAATTTGACAAAATGGAATTTGTTCTTTTCATACTATATCATTTGTCAAGTTACATTGTCATTTTTCCCACTGCTGCTTAATCACATAATGAAAATCCCACATGTAATTCATGTACACAAGAGGGCAGACTTAGGGTTGATGGGGACCCCTTGTCTGCATTGCTAATAGTTTTTGAAAGAACAGGCAAAATGCTATATGTAGAAGGACAATGGACCCCCCCCCAAAAGGAAAGAAATAGAAAAATCTTTTTCTGTATTTAATAACAATGTGGGATAATCAACTAGTATTCTGGGATCTTATCCAGCAACCATTTTTGCCACCATTTGAATCCATAGAGCATGAAGCTGTAACACAGTGCTTAGCAGAGAATTCTATCAAAGTATTGCCCTTCTAGCACCAAGCTTGCCTTTTCTGGAACATTTCACCTTTTAGTCACACTAACTACTGAGTACTCTCCATATACACCAGACACATTGAAGTTCTTATGCTGCCTGTCTACCTGGGACTCACTTCCTTCCAACTATCCCTGCAAGCTCAAAGTCATCCTTTGAACAAACCTGCATGCTAGTACTTAGCTTACAGCAATAGCTAACTGTCTGCCTCCCCTAAAAGACTAGAAGCTAAATGCAGAACCTCTATGACCACAGTATAGCACATGGCACCTGCCACAGTGTAAATGTTCACTTAATGTTAAATTAAAAGGAGAAATGTCTTCTAAAATATATGTAACAAACTGGCTTCGGCCTATCACTCACTCATCAAATGTCAATGTCACAAAGAGATGCTGAGTACCTCTCAATGTCAAATACTCCAGAGTGGAGCAGGGAGACCTCATCAACACTAGCAGATTCTGTGAGGTAGCTGTATCCCCAAGGTGCATCAACGGCAGGTGCCTTGAGCTTTCAGTCCCTTGGGTCACATGCCCAAAAGCCTGTATTGCTCCCTCTTCTCAGAGAATCTCTGGCCACAAAGATACCTTCACCTTGATCATGGACCCCAAGAAAAGCCAGCATGTTGTCTCGCCATTTCTGTACCTCTGCAGCCTCTCCTGTCTCAAATTCACAAGACTTCAGTCATGCCTTAGACCACAGTAAATATGCCTCCAGGATCAATCTTCACTAGTCAGGGCTCAATGGCAAATGCATTGGTATTTTCCCATTCCAATCTCTTACCCCTTGGCTATACTGCACCTACGAGAATCAACCTACAAAGCCTAATAGTAGAAATAAAGCTTCATGCTGACCATTTTTCCTACACCACGATAATAGCTCCCCTTAAACTACCTATGTGCTATACAGATGAGCAAAGGGTCACAAACACAGTCTAACAGATTTCAGAGTTCAAGGAAATGAAATAACTCATGCAGGTTTGCAGGCCCCACACAGTCTACTTATACATGTTGAGTTGGACCTTTTAGAATGCTGTAAGACCGAAGTCTTGATGGCATTTGCCTTTTTTATGTCAGTATTCTGAAATGAGCAGTTATTTCTAGATTCTACCTCTTACCTTTCATGTCTTCCCACCTCTGGGGTCAGCTTTGATAAAACGCAGTTATTGTGGGTAGGCGGGGGCAAGAGGGCTTTGTTCTTCAGGGAACCAATTATCTTCTAATTCTGCTGTAAGAATCAGACACTAATGATTTAATACTGTTAAAAGTACAGAACACATCTCAGAGAAAAGTGCAACCGCACCATCAAATGTTAACACCTGCATAAGATGCGTACTTATAAAAACAGGACAACAAGAAAGTTTTAAGTGTGATAGAGTTAATTTTAGGGATGTTTTGAAATAGTGTGATTTTATGAAGACTGTGTGGGGTATGCGGTCAAAAACCTGTAAGGGGAACTTCTGATTACAAATAGGAAATTTAAAATTGGCATGGTTAAATGTCCAAAGGGTAGAGTTTGCAGGAGCATCCATCTTCCCAAAACGCATAGCCCTTATATACTTAGAAGCAATAAATGAGTCTTTCAGAATTTCACAAAACACTTTGCAGTTAACTAGTTCTAAGTTGTACAAATGACACTTTAGATGTGAGAGGCCTATTGTTGAAGCATTCGGAATCCATTCATTAGTGCAACCACCTGTTGGGTACCGAAAAGTCGGGTTCATGAGCTCTAAAAGATAAGCTACAGTGCTTTGTAACACCAGGCCTTGTGCTTTCTTCATTGGCCGTGGAATAGAAAACTAGTCCCCTCTAGTGTCCTGTAGGTGGCTGAAGGATGGAGACACTACAGGACCCGCCCTCCTGCCTTCCATATCAACTTCAGGAATCGAAAACCAAGGGAACCCTTGACAACCTTCCCAAGAGACAGAAACACTTCCAAAACGATGATATTAAAAAACAAAACAACAACAAAAAAAACCCCTTCATTTCATTTCTAAGACCCTTCCAGTTGTAGTTGAAAGTGAAAGGAATCTGCATTTGCTTGCATCAAAACCTTGTCCAAAAAGGAGCCCATTCTTTCAGCAAAGAGGACCTACACTCACTGGCAGCTACTGCTCACCCTAGATCCGTAGGATCCTTAGAAACCTCTCTATTCTACTAGGGGGATTTGTTGCCACAAAGATCTAAATGGTTTGCTTCCTTCCTGGAATGGAATTAACAGGGCCAGGCTTGATAAATACATGTTCTCCTCAAGCAATTTTCACTAAAGTAGAGCACTCTTGAAAACTAGAGGTACTTAAGAGATGTGTGAAAACCTAAAGCAGGTTTCTTTAGCTCCCCCCCAACACCCAGCGAGGCCCAGGCATGCCAGAGAGTAATTCATTCATGTCACCCATTTGTGAGAGATGAAAAAGAAACCACCACTGTTCTTTTCCTAATTTAGAACCTGCCCTTATCTTCAGTCTATCAAAGCTGATCCTGAGGTGGGAAGACAGGAGAGGTGAGGAGGAAAATTAGCCTGGGGTGACTGCCTCCACGAGTGAATAAGCACTTTGGGTCTCCACCTGTATCAGAGAGAGGAGGATCTGCATTTAGGTGATGCAGAAGGACGCCCCCACCTGCCCCCACCATGAATCCCCTTGAAGGAAGCAGGAGCCCGGGTTCTCTCTCTTGGGGCACTTATGTAAGACCCTGTAAAACTTCCTGTGACATTCACAGAAAATGTAAGCCGCTATTTTGCTCCCTCAGGAGATCATTTTAATGGACTGAGTGACAAAATTCACGGATTCGGAATTCAGCAGAAACCTGCTCAACCGAAGTACATCAGCACAGGGACAGGAAAAAATCCATCCCCATTAAACAGGGTCACCCGGGGGATGAATTGAGTGTGTGAGAGACAATCTGTTCCTTCCGAAGTGACCCATTTAAAATCTGATGGTTCCTTGGGAAGCGCATAGGTTTAATAAATTTGAAACAGGCAAGGACAGGCTTGTAAAACCAGGTCCTTTAAAAGGAACATTTAAAAGAAGATAATAATGCAATGAACAAAATAACTGAAGGATGCACAAACTTTGGAATCCTCACTCCAACCTTCAAGCAGTGACATTTCCAAGAATGCCTGGGCCAGTATACATTGATCACTCCTTACAAGAAGCTTTGTCTAGCACAACTGACAAAGCTCCTTGAGTTTTCGCCTACAGATGCTGTTGCCAACCACACACTCTATCCTAAAAAGGGACTTGCAAGCTGTGACTGCTCACCACCAAATTGGCCTCTCTGCAACAAGAAGCAAACAAAAGTTTATAGCATCACACCAGGAAAGATAGGTGAGGAGCACAAAGTGGGACCTGTCCAAACACAACAGGCTCCCCAAAGCACAGGTGCTCAACCAACAAGCCCAGGCAGGGGGCCACAGGGCCACATCACCTCACGCTGTTAAAGGGAAACTTCCTGGCTTGCTCCCCATCAGCAGTCTGTTTGCCTGGGAGCCTGGCAGGCCCTGAGGGAGTCCAGGACATCAGAGACTAGGGTCTTCCACCTCCAGCCTCTCCATTGCTCCCAGCCCAAGCCACAGAGGGTTTGACGGCCCGCCTTCCTCTCCGCTGGCATCCCAAGCACAGTGGGTACCAGCCACAGGTTCAGAGAACTTGTCCAGCGTTGCTCACCAGAGCGCCCCCGCGGCGGCTCACTAGCCTCCCAGAGCTCTTACCTTGGCCGTGACTGCCCCCAAGCAGAGGGAGACCGCGGAAGAGCTGGGTGGCGTGGAGATGCTGCCGCCTACGAGGAGCAGGGAGTCCAAGTCCGGGTCCAGGCAGGTGCTGCCCGAGTCCCAGCAGCGGCGCCAAGAGCCGACTTCGGGACAGCCCTGGGCTCCAAACGCGACAGGAAAGGTCCGGATTGCCCAGGCTGAGCACTGTCCCTTCCTCTTCCTCCCGGGCCGCTGCCTGGAGCTGCTTTCTGCCCGGAGGACTCTTCCAAGCCAGGGGCGCCCCGCATGAGCTGGGGCCTGGGTCCGCTGCCGGGGCGGGCTCCACCTCTCGCTCGCCCCGCTTCGCCCCTTCAGGGCAGGGCCTGCCCGCAGCCGACCGGGTGAGGCGAGCGCAGCCGCGCCCCCAGCTTCGACCGCCCCGGCTCCAGCGCAGCGGCGGGGCAGACGCAGCCGGGCCGGGCCGGGCGCCGAGCGCGGCGGCGGGGGTTGGGGGGGGGGGCTGCAGCCGACCGCGGCGCCTCCTCCCCCCGGGCCTGCGCCGCCCGCCCGCGGCTTCACGAGAAGGCGCTGGAGAGGGCCTCGCCCCGGCCTGGGGCGCGGGGCCGGGGGCGCGGGGCCGGGGGTGGCGCTCCGGGAAGGTCACAGGAGCGGAGGCGCGGCGAGCGGAGCGCGGCACGGTGGGTGCGGGGAGCCGGGGAGGGCGGCCCCGCCGCCAGGAGCGCTCGCCGGCCTCGGCCGCGGCTGCCTCCGAGGAACGCCGGCTTCCCGGAGCGCCCGGCACTCGGAGCTGAGCGGCCGCTGCAGCCGCCGGCGGCAGCCGGGCGCCGCTGGCCGGAGCCGGCGCGCGATCCGCGATCCGCGATCCCCGCCTCCCTCCTGCGCCCGGCAGGCTGGGGTCACCGCGCGGGGGCCGGCGGGGGGGCGCGCTGGCGGGCTCTGGGGTCCGGGCTCCGGGCTGGCCCCGCCGCCGCCGCGTGCCCTGAGCGCCGGGCTCGCTCAGCAGCTGCAGTGACTGTGTGTCTGTGTCATGTCTGTGCAGCTGGGGGGGACCGCGAGCCCGGCCGGGTTCCGAGTGGGGGCGGGGCCGGAGCCCGCCTCGGTGCCCGCCCCCAACCCCGTGACCTCGCGGCCGACCAATGGACAGCGCCGCTGCCTAGGGACCCAGAGCCCGCCCTCACCTAGGCTCCGCCCCCCCATGAGGCTCCTCCCTCCCACTTCTTCTGCTGGCTGGCCAGCAGGCGGAAGCAACACCCGGAGCTGGGATCCCGGGCCGGATCGCGATGAAAGGGTGCTGGCTGGGAGCTCCCCGCCCTTCTCCCCCCACCCGGGCCGCTCCCGGCCGCCTCGGGCTTGGCGTGCCTCACGGAAAGAGGGGGAAGGGAAGCGCAGCGGGTCCGCAGCTGCCGCTCTAGAGACGCTCACAGGCTGGCCGGGCCGTGCAGCCTGCCCACCCCGGTTTACGAAACAGCCGTCGTGGAAAGTAGGAAGTTCCCCCCTCCACCTTCTACCGGGGCCGCGTTCTCTCGGAGGTGGGCAGGGTATGGGGCAGTCTGAGAGACGCTGCGAGGGACCCTGCTGAAGGGCTTTGACAGCATCCTTTTGGGCCCTGTACCCAAGAATCCTGCCCGAGGCTCCCTATTCTTTAGGGAAAACTGCACATCTGTGCTCCCCCGACACACACACACACACACACACACACACACACACTCACTGCCCTCCCCGTTCTGATTTTATTCTTGATCTTTCCCTCCTGATACAAGAACGCAACATCCCACTGAATGGAACTCTAGCCTCCGAGTCCTAAGGACGAGGATGGAGTGCCGAGTCTCACGGAGCCACGGAAGGGGTGGGTGGAATTGGTTGGGGTGAAGGGGAGAGGGTGTGAGAGTGGATGGAAGGAGGGGGACTCCCTCTCCAGAAATCCGAAGGAGTCGAAAGCCGAGGCAGGGAGAGAAAGAGGACGCCACAGGGGTGGACAACTCGGACTCAGAGACGGAGCTCCTCCGGGCGCGCGATCCAGCTCCCGGTTTTTTCCTCAGCTCGGTCCCAGGGCTTCTGGGGTCCCCTTCCCCCCGGTTCCCCACCTTTCCTGAGCCCCGCGGGCCGCGGGTCTCTGCCTCCGACCTGGGCGCTTGTCTCTTCGCTCCACACCTCGATCTAGGCAGCGGGAAGCCCACCCGAGTTCTTGGAAGGAGCAGGAGAAGAACGGGGCGGAGAGGGGCGCGCGAGAAAAGGCCGCCGAGCCCGCGCTGCCGCGCTGACCACTCTCCCTGAGGTCGGGCTGGGGGCCGAGGTCCTCCGAGGTCCGGCCACCGCTCGGCTCAGACCCGGCTCCCGCCTGGGTAAACACACGAGCCCTTAGCTCGACCCAGCCGGGACCCTTCCCCCATCCCCGCCTCTCTCCAGCCTCGTTAAACCACGACCCCCACCACCGCCGGCGCCGGCGCTTCCCCGGCTCGCGAGCGCTGTTTACCTAGTCTCCGCGGCAGACCCGGCCAGAGCCAGCCGAGGAGCAGGCGAAAAGAAGGTAGCGGTTTCCCCAGCAGCGTCCCTGGCGAAGAAGTAAAAAGCCTTTGCTTTGGAGCTTCGAGATAAGTTAACTGCGAAGCTGGGGTCCTGCTGTCTTATCTCTGCGGGGATGGAGCTCACCGTGCACGTTGCAGGCATCAGAGATCGTATGTTTTTGATGCCATTACCGTGTCGGAGAAGAACGTTATATGATAAAATATCATCTAATATCCTAGAGACCATTAAAGTGTCAAAGTTTAATGCCAAGCCTTGTAGCTCGAAGGCAGCTCGGTTCTTCCTCTGACGTGCAGCTCTGTTCTAGAACGCGCAGAAAACAAGGGGATCATTTTTATTTTTTGCGGGGCCGAATGTCCTTCCTCCCCCTTTCCTCCTCCCCCACCCCAACCCCCGCCCCGGAACCCGGTAAAGTTAAAGCAAGAATTTGTGCTTTCTTTTTATTTATTGTCTTGCTTCACTTCATTAATGTCATAAAATGCATTATTACAAGACATTAGCATATTAATAAGGGGAAGAAGAGAGAGACTTGAAATTTACAAGAAAAAAGAAATAATTGAATTGCATCAGAAACTAAAAGATAAACATGTGGGGGGAAAAATCTCCATTATAGTTACCCAAGTGTAGTACATAATCTAGATCTTGGAAAGAAAAAAAAATATATGACCATCGTGGGGGAGGGAGCCATATGCAGTGAAGTACACTAGGAACATAATTCATTATCAGAGGATTTCACAAAACTTAGTTTCATTCATCAATAAGCACCTTGAATGTGGAAATGCTTTTCTCTATCAATTCAAGGTTGCAATGTTGAAGTCAGTGGCATAACTAATGCTCTAAATCGTAAGAATTCTGTCGGAGTGAAATATTCCACAATCGGAATCCTTTGGTAAGTTCATATCTGTCAAGCCCCACCCAAACCCTATTAAAAATTCCTTTGGAAAATTGTGAAGCTTCTAAACTCCCTAGTCCAAGCAACTAAGGTTGGATGTGATTGCCTAGAAATTACTGCCCTTTCACACAAACCAAGGTATAAATGTCTTAAAAGAATTTTGGCTATGGCATAATATAGTATGAGGAATGCAGAATAAAAGATGTAAGGTGATGTCTCTGTTGTTTCTAAAGGTTTTGCTAAGAATTGAGAAATTAAAAAATATTTCATCCTTTAAATCAATCATTATTTATTTCTGCCTACACAGTTATTCTACCAGTCCCAGAAGAGATTCTGAAAGGTCTCTTTTTCTTAGGGTCAAGGAGACCTAATCCTAAGAAACCCGAGGTCTTAAAAAACAGCCACTAGGGGGCCCTAAAGTCATCTCTAAGAGGAAGCAAGAGAAATGTTCTCACCTCTCTCTCTCCCCCCACCCCCCACCCCCATCATTTCATTTTCTGTGTACCTAATGGAACTGGGATCTTAAAACAAGTTAGAAACATGGTATGGAGACAAATCAGATTCTATGTATTAAAAGACATTAAAAGTCAAGCATGACTTATGAGTGAAGAATTGCATTTCCTAATTTTTTCACCTCCAAAAAAAAGCAAGAAGATGAAAATTAAAACAAAACACACAACAACAAAAGAAGATTGCCTCCATTGAAAGGACAAGAAAATGATCTAATTCTCTTGCCATCTTAAAGCCCACCCAAATTATAGGACCTACTTTTCTAAGAGTTGGGTGTATTTTTATAAACATCTTGCACATTCTTCAAGAGCAAGATAATTAGATGACTGAATCCTCACGGGGGATGTTTAACAACCAGTATAGGTGGACAGCCATCTTCCAACTTCAGTGAAGTCAAGTCAGCACAAGCATTAAAATGGAGTCCACTGGGACCCTGCTAGACCAGGCGTCCATTCCTTGATGGTCAGTTCTGGTGAGATGGTGGTGGTATTGGGAGGAAGAGCAGAGACAGCTAGTGACATAGGGTATAGTGAGAAGAGCTGAGTGGGGAGCTATTCAGGGGCCACTCACCAGCAAGTGTGGAAGGATTACAGTTACTTTACAGCAATCTTGTGTTTGTCAGAACAACTAAATCACACATGGGATCCCTCAGAAACCTGCTCAAAATGATTTTGTAGGCTTCAATATCTAGCAATCAATTTTTCAGGGCTTCGCAATCCTTAGCAGTAATATAATACCTTTTCCATGTCTTACCAGTAAGTAAGGTCAAGATGTCCTTTATAAGGGTCAAGAATCAAACAGCACTCAGGTAACACAGGCAGAAGCCTAATTTCCCTTCAACTGATCCTGGAGAAGTATCTGCAAAGGATATTCTCTCTCGAATATCAAGTGGAAATTTAAGCACCGGGCATGAAATAGTCCTCTGTCATTCAAGCCAATAATCAAAAGAGATTCCTGAGCTAAACAAAATGCCTCCATCAGTGCTAAGCAGGGAAGAAGCCACTTGCTAGCTGAGGAATTAAAGAACATTGCAAAAGCCACCAAATTAACACTAATGGAAGTGTGATTTGAACATAATTTAACTGAAAACAAAGCAAAGCCAGGATTGAGACATGAAACGGGATGAGAATAAAGACTTTCTTTGTGGAATGAAAAATATTTTATGTTCACATTGTCATGTCCATTAAGCAGGCTAGAGACAGGTACTCTCAAAATACCGTTATTAACTTCCAGAAGACTTGCCCACTGCAAAGCTGAGAGCCAGCTAATTAGAACAGATTTGGCTCTAGATGGAGGATCCCATTGTCTTTAGGAGGGAGGTTTGTCCACTCACTGCTATGAAAGGACAAGGACAGCCTTGTCAAGTATATATCTCCCAAATCTCCTTATGA